AGACAGATATGAGTAGAATTAGATAGATAGATAGATAGATAGATAGATAGATAGATAGATAGATAGATAGATGTGAATAGAATAAGACAGATATGAGTAGAATTAGATAGATAGATAGATAGATAGATGAATAGAATAAGACAGATATGAGTAGAATTAGATAGATAGATAGATAGATGTGAATAGAATAAGACAGATATGATAGAATAGATAGATAGATAGATAGATTAGATAGATAGATAGATAGATGAATGAATAAGATAGAAAGAATTAGATAGATAGATAGATAGATGATAGATGAATGGATAGATGTAAGATAAGATAAGAGATAGATAGATAGATGATAGATGAATAGAATAATAGACAGATATGAATAGAATATAGATAGATAGATAGATAGATAGAATTAGATAGGATGAATAGAATAAATAAGAATAGGATAGATAGAGATAGATAATAGAATTAGATAGATAGATAGATAGATGAATAGAATAAGACAGATATGAGTAGATAGATAGATAGATGTGAATTAGATATAGATAGATAGATAGATAGATGTGAATAGAATAAGACAGATATGAGTAGAATTAGATAGATAGATAGATGTGAATAGAATAAGACAGATATGAGTAGAATTAGATAGATAGATAGATAGATGTGAATAGAATAAGACAGATATGAGTAGAATTAGATAGATAGATAGATAGATAGATAGATAGATAGATAGATAGATGACAGATGAATAGATAGATGATAGATATAATAGAATAAGACAGATAGATAGATAGATAGATATGACAGATAGGAGTAATTAGATGGATAGATGAGATAGATAGATAGATAGATAGATAGATAGATAGATAGATAGATAGATAGATAGATAGATATGAATGAATAGAATTGCATGAACAGACTATTATAGATAGAAACCTTTGCATTTTATAATGAAATTATATTTGTCCAATGTACAATGCACTACTTAATAAATTCAAATGAAACTAGATGGATGTGAATAAACATTTTAATTTTTAATATTTTATAGATAGATAGAAGAAAAAATAAGAGTAACTCGGATGATAAGCAAGATGTGTTGATATGAAGTTCATATTTTTAGCTTTTTGCATGAACAGACTATTATAGAAAAAATTTTATAATGGATTTACAGAGAAATAAAATTTTTTTTTATATTTTATAAGCAAGGAAAGAATTAATAGCTGTTGTATGAAGTTCATATTTTTGCTTTTGTGTGAAAAAGGATTTACAGAGAAATAAAATTGTTTCAAAGAATTAATGGTCTTCTTATTACTCTTAAAAAATCTGGAGTTATAGAAAAGTATTTTTGTTTGTTTTTTTTTTTTCAATCTCTTCGTGTGTTTTCGCTCTGGCTTCTCGTAATATCTGCTAAATTTTCTTTCCATGGCATTTGCAATAAAAGGCAATTGAAACCAAGATGAAAACTATTATAATAAAAATGAATTATAACTGCCAATGCTTCATTTGATTCGAATAATATTTACAACTAATACTACGAGTACATGTAAACAAAGATGGTGGCGCATCGTGCATTCGGGAAAATAAGGCATATTAGCTATATGAACAGAATTAAATGACTAGACAGTTGACTTCGTAAGTCTAATGGGCTAGGCAGATGCTTCAGAGAGGCAAGATCCTCAGGATAAGACATCTGCCTCTGAATCTCACTCGAGACATTTATTTTCTTCTCGATCCACGCTACTTAAAATTTGGTTGTAGTTTTACTGCAAATCGTTTTCTCAGTGTTATATTTTTATTCTCTCATTGAAGAAATAGCATAAAAATAAATGATGTCGGAATTGAAAGCTATTTTAGTTTTTAATTTTATAGTTTGAAATGTTAAGGTTGGTTTTTAGATTAGCGTTTCTTTGTTTGCAACTATGCATGTGCGTGTACAAAAGAGATTGGGTGAGAGATATTGTGCATTTTTAAAAGTTTGTAAACTATTTTTTTTTTTCGTTCTCGGAGGTAAGGCCTGACATCAAACATATGAAGGTAAAACGAGTGCCAACATGAATGTCGGTATCTGTTGTGTTGCCTTGCCGTGGTACAGTGGCTAGTCTTGCAGACCAGCTGAATCAATGCCTTACAATTGCAACCTCATAGCAGACTAAAATCAGCGTTGGAAATAACAATTTGAGCGTATCTATCCACTGTCTCTCCGTTCCAATAGTGATGATGTATCTCCGTTCCAATAGTGATGATGACACACCAGAGAGAAAAAAATTTAAAAAAAAAAAAAAAAAGAAAATGATTACAAAAATCCAGGCGTTGTTGATGCTTAAGGATTAAGAAATTGTGGAAGAGAGTCGGGTTTCTGACAGGATTTAGAAAAAGTTGAAAAACTAAAATAACATTTTCCTTTAAGGCTCCACTGTCTCAACACTAGCTGACCTATTTGGTGTTGGTATGCAACTACATTTAATTTATTTATTTGTTACGGAATTTCATCAGCACATATACAAAAGCTTCAAAAAATAACGACGTTGGATTCCAAAATAACAACACAGATTCTACAAAAAATTTAGCAACGAAATTAGTGACGATCCCGACAATTTTTTTAACGAATCAGCCTTTGAGGACACATGGTACAGTGGATAAAGACGTTGGTTAAATCCAGTGACAGGACCCAAAGAGTTGTGAGTTCAATACCTGTTTAAGGCAGTGAAGAACTTGGAGAGGTGAATTAACAGGAGATAACTGATAACTGACATCCATTAGACATGGCACGTGGAACTAGAACGGTCTACCACGGCGAGTAAAATAAAGGGTTCAGTTCGATATTCCAACCACCTGAAAAAGGCCGGAGCGTACAACGGCTGAAACGTTGTGATAAATATGGCAACAAAGATGAGGATGATTGTCCGAATAATGTAAATAATGTACATAATACCTCATCTCAGAAATATAGACAGATACTGAAAGGTCGAAACGATGTAATAAATATGGCGACAAAGATGAGGACAATAGTCCGAATAATGTAAATAGTGTACATAATACCTCATATCAGAAATATTGACAGATACTGAAGGGCAGAAATATTGCAAGAATTTGGAATAAAGAATCATTTTTCATCGGAAGAAAAAACATGTCCGCTTAGGGTAATTTAATGGTGTTGGTAACTTCTTTGAAATACAAATTCCAAAGATATGGGATGCGAGTTCGTGTCTTCAAAGCTGCATCTTTATTTTGAGTTTCATAACATAACGGCTAAAGGATGAATCAGCTAATAAACATTATGACAAAAAAGAAAACAAATAAAAAAAAATTAATAAAATTAAGTTTGATAAAAATTCATGTATATGAAAACAATATATATGCAGAGGCGCTGAAAAGTTTTCGATCCTACATACGGCAAAGAAGAACAAGTAGTGAACTGCGGAGGCACTGACACTGCACTGGTCCTAGGTAAAAGTGCCAATTCATAAAAAATAAGTAATCCTGCCGTTTTTGACGGGTACTATGCTAATGTGTAATATCTCCGAATCTGAAAACTGATTTCGTTTTTCTTATGAATAACATTCGCTTTTAGCGAGTTAAAGCGCTTTTCTTTTACTGGGTGCAAAGTGAAGAGAAAGAGTATGTTGCGCCAATTTTCCAAGTGGCGAGGACCCATCTACCTTGAAAATCAGCATTCGAAATTCTAGTTTTTATCTGAGCTCGAACACTGACCACTAACGCCAGGTATATTTACTCGGTCTCTCCACTCAGGCAGGATCTGACACATGGTCGATTTTACGTGGGGAGCGCCATACACATACGTACACATATGGACCATGGACAAAAATCGCCTATCCTCACGACCGCTGTCACGCTGGCGTCGATAGTACAATCCTACCTCTCTTGAAGAAGGTGTTTCCACAGGGTTGAAATCACCTGAATCGGAATCCTTCTCCCATCTAAAAATAAGGAGAACAGTTGACTCCACTTCCGACCAAAAATCGAACTCCTGAAGCAACTATCCGGCCCATAAAACAAATTCAATTGCACAATTAACTGCATAAATACTTTGTATGCATTTTTGTGTTTTTATTCAGAATTTTTTTAAAAAAAAAAAAAAAAAAAAAAAGATAAAAAGAAAAAATAGAATGGTATGTGAATTTGGTCATGTTCTGTTTGTTGTACGTACATAAGTTTTTTTTTGTTTATTTATTTCTATTTTTATTTTAACGTAAAGAAAATGTCAAGGAGAGCTTGTTTGGAAATGTTGGGCCACATTTTAATTCAGGTACACGTGCACTCATTTAAAAATAGATTCTTTGAGCAAAATGTCCATGCATGATTAATTATTAGAACGAGAAAGGAGGTCAATCAAGCGGAACCGCTTCTCAGCTGTGATGTATATTAATGAAGAAAACTATTTAAACATGGCGACCAAAATATGAGAAAAAAACAACAGAAGCCAAAGAAAGGGGATGAGTCGAGTAAAAGGTATTCCTCGCTCCATATAAAGGACTGTGTACACATTTCCCATGCACTCATTCCAAGGTTAAACAGATGTGTGTGTCTATGTGTGTGTGTGTGTTAAAGTTCGATGCTCACTCGAGATGTATTGCTCGAAATACAGCAATTGTGTCGGTGCTAACTCTGAAACAAATATACCATTTCCACCCAATGTAAATGCACAAATTAAAAGTTTACAGTCTGGCATAAGGCTACAGAAGTAGAGTGCCCGGTATACTCACTGAATTAAACAATAATGGTATGTTGACAAGCTTGTTAAACTTTACTCTATATAAACTTCGTAATTTAGGTAACTGATACCAGTTCACAATTGACTAAACTGACTAAAAAGGTACCTTGCAAAGGCCAAATTTACTATCAACGGTTTGCGAGTGTTACTTTTTAATTTTTTTAAAACATATCATTCAACGGCGCCGCAGGCGTCCTTTATGCTTGTTGGGAGGAAAATGTATTTTTTCTCCTCAATATGTGTAACTTTTTTTGTCTTTTTATTGTTGATATTTTCATGAAAACAAATTGTGTGTTTGTGTGACCGAAAGACGTGTTGTGATTTCAATGAAGACGTCTAAATGAATGCGTAAATTCTTGCGGAAGGGGGAGAGGAAATCCGACTGTAAGAAAAAAGAAAGAAAAGAAGAAGAAAAACAAGCAAAGCGTGAAATTCTGACGATGAATTTCTGAGATGCATTTCTCTTGTCTGTGTGGAACATAGAGAGAGAGAGAGAGAGAGAGAGAGAGGGGGAGGAGAGGGAGAGAAATGGGGAGAGAGAAGGGGAGGGAGAAACAATGCGTGAGGTCTTCTGAGTGAACTCATTCTGAAAAGTGGGTGGGAACAGCGCTTAGTCTGCGAAAGAGAACGCTAGGGAACGTGTATGCGAGGCACGTGCTTCAGCAGACACACACACTTATTTCGAAACAAATCCGTGGAGGCTAGGTCAGTATGTCCGTAGCCTGATACGTCGACCTAAATTAAAATTCTGATCAGAAATTTTCACTGTAATTATCGATCTATGTGATTCGCCACTGAACTAAGTGCATTGACACAAAAAGGTGATCCTGTTATTAATAAAAATGATAATAATAATCATGTCTGTAAAAGTTTTTTTTTTTTTTCAATCATTGGTGCTATTTTATCTTATTGAGATCCTTAACGCAATCTGAAAGAGAGAAAAAATCTAAAAATAACGACTGATGAAGATCATCAGGAAAGGAGATAAAGACACATCTCATGGCTTCTTTCTTACTGCGATGCAGAGAGAGTAAGATAACGGGATGACGGCAATGATGAGTTTTGTCCATCAGATGAAGTGGGGAAAAGAAAGAAAGAAAAAAAAAGGAAGTTAACGAAAGAAAAACAAAAAAGATCAGAATTAAAACGAAGATCATTTGTAAGACTTGGTTTGAGATGCAAATTAGGTCATGTCGGAAGGTACAATGTCAAGGTTTGTGTTCTACATCTTATTGCTCAACTCTGTGATGATGTCAACAAGATTGGAAAGTGTTTGGAGATGAATGTGGAAAGGAAATAAATGACAAGAACTGACAAGCTTACCTTCATTCATCATTTGGTGGAACTATGTGACACATAACGTAGAAGAAAAAGAATCTTTATATTATTTTGCTTTTTAGTCGAGCAAGCGGATTTATTTTTTTATTTTATTGAATTTTTATTTTTTTTATTTTATTGAATTTTTTTAAAAAATCATCGTATTGTAAAAAATCAATAAACTGATATTTTGAAAAACATAACCATTGTACCCTTTTCCATCTTTCTTTTTCTTTTCAGTCCTTTTAATTATCTGTTTTATTTTTACCCCCAAATTATTTTTGCGGATCAATTATTACATAATATATTTACTTAATTTCTGGCATCGATTGTGTATCCGTCATTAAGATCGGTGTTGGGGCACAAGTAAAAATATAGTATTACAAAGGTTCTCCTGATATAGCAGAATACTATCTTCCACCATTTTGTTATTGTGCTGTGTTAAACTAAATTAAAAGATTACCTCTTTTTCTTTGTATTTTTATCTTAGATTTTTTATTTTTTCCATCTCATTTTCAATTTCTTTGCTGATATTGATTCGACTTTGCATTTATTTGGCGGTTAGAGAAGCTATCTTATCCTTATTCTTTGTCTGTTTCCCTCAAAAGGAGATCTTCAGTTAAAAAAGAAAAAAAAACTGAGACAGAGTGTGAATATAGAAATTAACACTGCATGATGCTTGTCAGTTTCACGTTTCAAGCGAACTTCAGATTATATATATATATATGTGTGTGTGTGTGTGTGTGTGTTTATTTTCTTTATCGTATATGAAGCGCTTTTTCCTCTAAAATAAATGGACACTTGTTATTATTATTATCATTATTGAGTAAGAGGACTGTAAGCCATCAAAGTGATAGGGTACAAATATACGAAACTAAAATATACGTATCGATTCACTCAGTCTTATAAGAGTATTCCGGACATATGCATTAATTCATATGACAGCCAAATGTACTCGACATGGTAACAGGTTTTGAAAAAAAAAAAAAAAAGGCAACGCATAACCTTGAAGTTGAGGTCCACAGTTAATAATGTCTACGGGTCGGGTAATCCAGTTCGTTAAGATGGTCTCCGATTGAGAATGTTCCTAAGTACCTAAATGTGACTTCCAAGCTGCCTTAGATACCTCATTCTTCAAACTTAAAATAAATTTTTTGATACTTGGCCATGATTCTACCCTACTACTCATGCTCGTGAACAGGTATGCACAATGCATCAACTCATAAAAAACAAAAAAAAAGGTTATGGTCAAGTAAATGATAAGCAAATATGGGGGATTGAATTTACTTTAGTCCATATTAATTCACCAAGACAATACATGTACATGTTAACATCTCCAATCAGTTAAGATTAGAAGCCATGTGAGCCACCCCTGAATAATAATAATAAGAAGAAGAAGGATTAAAGAAGAGGACAAATTAAGAAAAGAAAAAAAAAGACACAATGTTTAACAATATTTCGACAGTATGTCTGTCTTCTTCAAGTTATGTTTAAAAATGCATATAAAAAAAAATATTTAAAAAAAAACAAGTCTTTGTACAAACGTCGCTTATCTTGAGAGAAAACGGTTGTACTAGTAAATTGCGCGACAAAGTGAATGAAATGCAGACAGGATGAATGAAATGCAACAGAAACGCGAGTAACATGACGGGGTTCATGTTTATCTTGAAATTTTCCGTCAGTTGATTATTTAATAAGAGCAATTAATCAAACAAATTAGTTTAGCAGTAGGTAATTACCCTGAACTCCCCATTGAGACGGGATGTGACACAAGGTCATTTAGTTTAGCATTATAAATCTTATGGAACTCTCTTATCATTTTGTTCATTCCACAGGTGTGAAATGTTAGTAATTTGCATATGTAACTTTCTTCATAAACTAAGTGTTGAAATGTCAGTGAATTCTGATGATGATGATGATGATGATGATGACGATTATTATTATTATTATTATTATGAAAGAAAGACAGAAACAAACAAACGTAATCAGGTGTAATATAATAATACACTGTAATTTTGGATGGACTCTAATACCGTTACCCACGCGTGCTTCGAAAAGAGATGATGAAGAAGAAAAAACAAAACAAAAAAACAAGCGTCTAGCTTGTTTTTTTGTTTGTTTGTTTTTTCTTTCTTTCTTTTTTTTATTGTTTGGAGGGAGTGCCCAAACAATTGGATCAGCTTATTAATTTCTTACACGAAACAAGTGAAATGAGTTTTCTAACTTTAGCAACTGAATTAAATTTCCAAGACAACAATGACATGCTCAAATAAATAAATTAAAAACTAACCGTAACCCATGATAGAAAATTTAATTCTATCGTTAAAAAAAAGTTACTTAGAAAGTGGGCGATAAATTGCTACTATTTTTTTCTAAGTGTGTCCTGTAAACGGTAGTTGAGACTTAGCATTTTCGCTTTCTTATTCTTCAGGTCTTAAAGCTGTCTGGGGATTTGTTCCCCTGGTACTACATCCCCCATTACACCGTAAGCGAACTAAGCTCCGGGACAGTTTTTTTGCTGCTTAGCTTACAGCAATGCCAAGTGAGATTTTTAGAAGTTACTGGTTACCATCATTCAAACTTTTAAGTTAATGTCTTATTAAAACTAGGTTGATGATGTAAGCAGAAATTGCCAGATCTCTGACGTGACTAAAATTTAAATAAATAATAACAACGTCCCTAAAGTTAAAAATGCAATATGGGTGTCGATTTTATTCTTCTCTACTTCAATAGTAATATAAATACAATCTAAAATTGAAACAGCAATTTAAAATAAAATTATTTATTTTTGCATCAACGTTCTTTGATAATAAATTTAAAATGAAAGCATATTACCAACAGCCCGAGTAGCTTTCACTCTATACAAATATATTTTTTACAACCATACACACAAACTACTGCTAATTGAATAGCAAAGCAACCGTTACAACTACTAAAAATGTTTACAATACAAACCAGTCCCACTATTTTTAACGTCAATTGGAAATTCCTGATTAGCAAACTTACGCACACATACAAACACACACATAACTGAATCCATGTGAATTGATCCGCTTCTACTTTTTAAACTTTATTTGGTCTTCAGCTTCAATCTTCAACTCTTAGCAATCCAAATGACTAAGACATACTGAACTACATTTTTAAGGCCATGTGATAAAGTTGATATAAATAAAACACCGCTGTCTGTTGAATTCCATGATTTCGGTATACACCGCCTGCGTCACAAACGGTGACAACCAAATATTTACTCTTTTATTTGCTATATCAGACAGACTGACTTTTTTTTTTTCGATATTCCATGGCACAAAAGCCCACAAAAGAATTTGTATGTAAGGCTTGTCTTTTTACGTGAAAATTCTTTTAATTACTTTCGCGGCAAACCCGCACTGACATTGTTTTTAATTATTGCTCTATGATAGCCTGCCGCTTAAACTTACGGATTTTTTAATTTATTTATTTATTTACTTACTTTTTAATTTAGCTTCTGCTTAACTTAGTCTGACACAAGACAATAAGTGTAAGGAACGCACTGGTAATGGAACTCATTTAAACAACAGTTGAGTAATGGTATGCTAGATTGGCCCGTTTATTATTATCTCAGCGGCAAGGTGGTCATGGGAAAGCCCAAATGTAGAGTACTCACACATACTATATTAAAAGTGGACAGTGATGTCGACACCAAGCGGCAACAGTCTGTTTCACTGAACGCAATCCTCAGGTCACGTGTGCTGTGTTTTGGCGGTTATCGAGTAGACGGTAACTTATGTTACAAATTATTCTCTAGAGGCACGAGGAGTATAATTGTGGATTCGAATGTGATTATTTGTAGCTATTTTATTAGTGTTATTTAATAGTTTATATTTAATAAAAACTCTATTTCTCATATTGAGCACTTTTGTTCATAAATATAGCACACCGTAAAACTATAGTATTTTCATTATATATATATATATATATATATATATATATATTAATGCTCTGTAAATTTACATTGAGCACTATTTTGTAAAAATAAAAATATCTATAAGAACACCGGATTATATATCTTACTGTTCTTTCTTTTTATTCATGTACACACACACACACATATATATATATATATTGCTGGGGCTGCAGTAGTAGATATGCATTAACTATTATACCAGTATTATTACTATTATTATGATAGTGGTTCCAGGATTTATTTAATACTAGATTTCATTTAATTAATTAAAATCATTTTTAATATTTTCATATTTTTTATTAATACATTTGTTATAATTTTTATTTTTTAAATAATTAATAATGTTTTGTCGATAAGGAAAAGTTTGATCCTTTGAGGGATTGATATGTTTATTATTGATATATTTCTATAATCAATAGTAAATACAACACGTTCTGTGCGCACGTTTTGTTTTTCATTACTGTATGTATACCTACTTCTGCATCCATATATATATATATAAACATGGAAGACAGATTAGTAACTGCTAAGACCACTGACGCAAACTTTAAGTGTTCGAGTTCGAGTAGTGAAAGCAAGGATTTTTAAAAATGTTTTTCGAAACCATTTCCACTTGAAAGTGTGACGCAATACAATTCCAGCTCCATGTTATAGCCTTGTACGAGATTAAAAGTAAAACTATCCTTGGAAATAGTAGTATGTAAGTAGTGGCGAAGTCTACATTGAATAAGTTACGCAAAATTTTAACTGATCTACAAACGTTTCATCCCAAATTACGCAGCAAGAATAACTCCTCGTGGAAAATATTCT